AGGATCTTGGCGGGCCCGCCGTCGCCGGCGACGGGCAGGGACTTGGCGCCCGGCTCAGTGGCGCTCTGTCTCGGGCTGGGCACCTTCCAGGACAGAGTGTCGCCGGACATCACCTCGTACATGTTCACGGTCGGGTGGGCCTCATATCATCCTAAGCCGGCGAGAAGAAATGTCAAAGTAGCTGTAGTCGCGTATCGATGCGAACGGTCGTCCGACTGAATTTGCATTGATTTGCGAGCACAAACTTGCCATCCGACGATTGTATGGTGGCAGCGAAGTCAACCCAAGGCGCCGAACAATCGGCGGCAGGCTTCGGGCTGTTTACTGCCGCCATCGGTCGGACTAAACAACTCGAGTATTGCATGTTGGCTATTTCAAGCCTCCCTCTGCTTCTTAAATGCGAGCATGCAGTTGCAAACTGGAGACACGTGGGCTAACCATTCGCATTTCTGTTAGCGCGTCGTTAACCTTGACGCAACGGATAATCTTAACGCGGGTTTTGCGAGAAGTCATTTCCAGAGATGAGCCAACCGTGCAAAACGTGCAGCGCAATTGAAGGAGAACGTGTGAGCAAAACGTTTGCCTGCAATTCAAGTCATGACTTTGACGTTTTTTTTGAAAGCGAAACTAAGCTAGGCCTCCACAGAGCCAGGCTCCACATTACCATGGCAACATAGACCAGCCGAAGTGTACCCGCTGCTCTTCAATCCAAACTGTAAGCGCCTCAATTTGGCCAACACCGCGAGCAAGGAGACACTTTGAACTCTAAAAATAAACCAATGCGCACAACTTCAACTATTTAGCTGTCGCGAAACACGAATCCGCTCACCTGGCAGCACGGTGAATCTGTGTTTTTTTCCTCTTCAGCTCAGCACGGTACGTTTGCTTTGCTCTCAGGCTTGTCGTGCGTGCAGGCTTGTGTTTTGTTAGCCAGAGGCCACACATTCCCCAGCAGGGCCGAGTGCGCGCGCGCCCTTGCGCGTGTGCATGTTTGCATGTGTGTCATGACGAGGGAATGAGTGGGCGCTGCGTGTTGCACCATCCATCACCTGGGCGTAGGAGGAGGCGGCCGGACGGATGGATTGACCGCAGTTGACGTTTAAAGACAAACGACTTGGGGAGAACATTTGCGCAATTGAGAAATAAATTCCAAATCCAAGCGATGAACGGTCCCAGACACCGCCATCGTCAATCTTCTTCTTTGCCTGGTTGTTCACTCAAACACATTCGCATGAGGGCTCCAGTCTAACTTTTTTTTTTTTTTAACTGAAATTTTAGAAGATTTCGGCGCGGACCCTGTCAGTCAGTCCACTTGCAACTATTTTACGTGCCGGTAAAGTCAGTCTGGTAGCTGTTCACTTATCGCTGGCCAGTCTGGGACGTTAACATATTCGTGCTGGACTGATTTGGAACATTTTTTGCTCGCATATATCCACGTTATTTTCCAGCGCGCGCTAACACATGCACACACATGTCCGTTGCATTTGTGTTGTGCCACACGTGGGCTCGTGCGGGGGGCTTTTCCGTGTTGCCAGTGAACTCCAAGCAGGCGAGTGACGCGGCGCTGGAATGTGGCCGTTTGTGTGCTCACCTGCACGGACTTGTACCGCTCCTGAGCAAAGTTCTCTCTCCAAGAAAATGGCTGACATGATGATAAATATCACATCTTTGTCATCATCACAAAAGCAGGGTCGGGGGGGGGACACTTTGTACATGAATCACATGAGCAATATGCTCAGTAATTACCACAAAGGTGATTTTTTTTTCAGAAAAATGCTGGCCTATCTGTCTGTTTTATGCTCTTTCCGTGCATGTTGACACAACCGAGGCGTGCTACGGCGTTCACGTTCCAAACGTGCGCAGAAAAGTTGCTTTGTATGAAAAGGAAGAATTGTTTGGCTCTTACCTGTGAGTGTTTTATCCGTCAGAAATGACAAGTAGTATTCCCGAGTGAGAGAGTTGCGCGGCAGCTGTCCTCTTTCACCTCCTTCCCTTCCCGTCTCGTCTCGTCCCGTCCGCTCGCGTCGAAGGAAGGTGGGAACACTTCCTTATTGACGCCAAAGCACACGGCAAACGGCTACATGACGGCTGACGACGAGTGATGCGTTTTTTTTTCAATCATGATTTCCAACAGGGCTGTTTTATCTTCACGTTTGTTTATATACAGAATGTTTTTGTAAGTCTGTGTTACTCCGTGTTGCCAGTGAACTCCAAGCAGGCGAGTGACGCGGCGCTGGAATGTGGCCGTTTGTGTGCTCACCTGCACGGACTTGTACCGCTCCTGAGCAAAGTTCTCTCTCCAAGAAAATGGCTGACATGATGATAAATATCACATCTTTGTCATCATCACAAAAGCAGGGTCGGGGGGGGGACACTTTGTACATGAATCACATGAGCAATATGCTCAGTAATTACCACAAAGGTGATTTTTTTTTTTTTTTCGGAAAAATGCTGCCCTTTCTT